ATGGGGGAGGGGAAGGAGAAACAAGTGTAATAATCTGAGCAATATTTATTTTAAAAAAAATAAGTAAATTAATAAATAGGAGGTGGTGAAGTAACCACACACACAAAAAATCTAGACCTTGTTTTAAAACCTATTTCCATAAGGATCAGATATATATACATCAAAACAAAGTAAGAGAATACATGATTTTCCCAAGGCATGTAGAGCTGCCCAATGCTGAGTGCTTCAATTATAATCTGGGACCTAGGAAGTAGGGTGTATGCCAGGGCTTCTGATTGAGATAGATATTTTGTAAGAAAAGACCACAGATAGTTGAAAATATATAACCTTGCAAATAATAAATATAATTTTACTACCTTAAAAAAAACCCAGCACTAAGCATATAATAATGACTTTGAAAAATAAGTATTCTTAATTTTGTCTTTTTTATATGAACTCAGCATTAGAAATCATCTGGGGTCCTTTTTTTCTAGTATATGCTTGGTTATGTCAGGAGATCTTTACCCGAGGCCCATAAATGGAGTTTTGTAGGTCCGTAAACCTTCTAAAATACTACACAACATTTTATGGGTATTTATGTTTTCTTTGGGAAAAGGTTCGTAGATTTCCTTAGGTTCACAAAGGGGTCTATTCTCTGAAGGTTGAAAACAACTGAGCTATTCAGACTTGTATGGTTTGTGGGTCTCCTCTACCCAGAGGAAGGGCTGGGTGAATGAGGAAGGCATGCAGGAGGGCTCTATAATGTGGGTGGACAAAAGGTGGCCATTTGGTGTTGAAATGCCTGCAGTCAACCTTCTTTACTCACCAGGACTCACCTATCTCAACATAGCAGCCCAACAATTTCACATGAAGGTGGGAGAGAGAAATTTGACATTATGTCTGAATTTAATGACAGATAACATGTTGCATGCTATGAGGGAGGAATAAACTAGAAGGTTAGGGTTTCACTCCCTTGACATTTTGAGTCCTGGAGAGGGCACAGAGGTCTTTCAGATCCTTCAGCCATGACCCACATAATATTTTTTTCAAGTGATAAATGACAACACATTTAGGATGTATTTAGGATGTTTTACACAGCCTGACTCTTAAGAGCACATTGTTTGTGAATGAAGTTTTTTAGTTCTAAAACTCTGATCATGGTTTAAGAGTTTTACATGATAATAACATATTTATGCAGTCCTTGATAGTTTACAAAGTATTGTGTTAGTGTATGTAGTTAGATATTAACAAGAAAGGAAGCAAAGGAAATCAAACATTATTGTTATTCCAAGAAACTACAGCTTCACACACTCCAGAGGATCACAGTATTGCCCCACAAGGTTTAACACTCCTCCCTTCCTGGCTCTGGAACTGGATTAGGAAGGAGGTGCAGGGGGAGGTAAGCACATACACAATAGAAGTCAAAATGGCATAGGGGGAAGTGCTTGACCATAGAGGCCTGTCAATCTAGCCTGGGGAAAAAAGAGATTGGTTGGGAGGTGGATCTTAGAAGTCATCAAAAGCTTGGGAAGTTGATTGGCTGTTTTGAAAAAGTGCCTGATCCTTCCCAAGCCTGAGATGATATAATTCCAGGGAACAAGGAAGAGCTCTCTCTCACCCACTAACCCATGCTCATCCCTTGAGCTAGCACGTTCTCTCTCCATAGCCTCTTCTTGTGACACTGCCTAGACCCCACTTCCACAGCAACACTTACACCACGTTCTCAATAACTGTGTACTATTTTCAAACGTAGAGGAGGCTCTGAATGGGTTCCCTGATCTATCTCACCTCTCTTTGGGGGAAACTTGAGCAATTTAGATTGATTTCCTGAGAAATATTTGCCCCAGCTCCCTTCGGGTTGACATCTAATGGTTTCCTCAGTTACTGAATCCTCTTCCTGCTATTTAAATCTGCCTGCTCTCCTCCTAGCTCTAGTAGTCATTTAATAAGACCTGAGGAGCTAATGTTTTTCTGGCAAACCTGGAGGGATACTTTCCCTTCTTTCATGAAGACTGGAGAACTGTTAGCAGTAAAATAATCAGGTTGATGTACTTTAAACAAGGCAGCTGGTTCAAAGGGGAGTTCTTAGGGCACTAGTGAATGGCAGCCTGTCCATGATTGATGCAAATATTTCACTGCTGTTACTACTTGGTTTGAATACAAGACAAAGGTAGAAAAATGTTCCTTAGAGATGATAGTCAGCTTTGAATGGTCCTACTGCAATGACAAGTCTCCAGTGAGCTGGAAAGCTTGCACTAGGAGGATTCCAAAGACTTGATAAATCATGAAAGTTTAGAACTTCACTGTGTCAAAGGGGAGAGTGGTATTTATTAATTTGACAAATATTACTCCTAAAATGCAGGGCATTGTCACAAATAGGGAAAATATTTCAAAGCTAAGGACAAAATAAAAAAATGTAACTACCGTGAAATGAAGGAACCTTTCAAGAAAGTTTGACACTGGCTATGTATGCCAGTATTTCTTATATTATGGAGGAGGAAGAATAAGGAGCAGTACAGGAAGCAATTTCCCACATACTGTGTAGGCAACTAGTACCAAATGTCTGGCCTGACTGCCCATCATCATTCTGGCTGCCACCGTGGTGGCTTCTGGGTATTCATTCCTTTGGGTTGTCATGGAAGGACACTGTTAAAATGTATTGTAGACAGTGTTAACAAAGTGACTAGGTAGCAGCCATTTCCATATTTGTTTATACTAGAATTTTAGAAGTTAGCAGAAACCATCCCTTGACACAATAGGCCAGAGGACTTAATGATGAGGACAGAAAATGTCCAGAATTGGAGACACAATCTGGAGAGAGGGATGAGGTGCAGTCATGAGGACACTGGATTTGAAGCAAACACCAAAAGGAAGCATGGAAGTTTGGAGATGACCACATTAGGGATACTCAAAGCTGGTTTTGCAGACACCAACCTTTTCCCCTAGGAATGCTCCGTTGGTAGTTTCTCCACTTAAATTAATGGAATCACATATTCTGTGTCTGATTGAAGACAGGTAGCCACCTCCCCTTTTCCCTTTATCACCATTGCCCCAACTCCTTTGTCCCTAGCCCCCTCTCTCTAAGATATTCAGGTTGCTTCATTGACCAAATGACTAGGAACAAACCGAAATCCCAAGTTGTGAAGACTTAAAAACAATTTTGAAATTCTACTGTACAGTGTCCTCTTTGCTCTTGGATGTGTTGCACATTGTACAGCCATCTAAAAATCCACATAGTGGTTTAGTGAGGTTACAGAAGCTGGGTGTCACCAAAGCAAGTATTTGAAAGAAATCCAACCTTATTTCCACTGGAAAATGAAACCTGAAGAGCTGGGAAGCTTGGAACAGTTGTAGGAAAACACTACATGAGCTCACCAAGCCTGGAAAAGGTGTCATGTATGTGGTTGGCCCCATATAAAAGTCTGCCTTCTTTTTTTTTTTTTTTTAGTTTAGTAACATCTCAGTCCATTGTCCCAAATCACTTCATTTTCATAAATCAAGTTTGGGCTTATTAGCATACAGATGGGGATTCTGGATTTTTTTAAGTGAGAATTCTCACTTTGCTGTGTTAAGCAATCTTTTGCTTGCCTGGTGCATCATGAAACCAGATCTAACCTCAGTTCTGCACTCACAGCAGCAAAAGATAAGGGGGAACAGAATTACCCTTGAATTTAAATCTTAATGTCACCACTTACCAGCTCTGTGGCCCCAGGCAAATCACTTAATTTCTCTGATCTTTTTTCCTAATTTGTAAAAATCGGGATTATAGTTGTTATCAAAAGAAGGTTGTGTGAATTAAATGAATTCATATTTGAAGAACATGTGTGGTAAAATACCATGAAAAAGCAAAAATATTTCCTACAGAGGTGTCTCAGATTAACATTAATGGGAATTAAAAATGTGGTCAGACCTTCCCCAAAGGAGGTGGTCAGACAAAAGAAGGTGGTAGGAGAGGGTCCCTGAGAAACGAGATTTATTTAATATATTGTTTTTGGTTCTAAGCTCTAAATTAGTTTAGAACTTGGATATCTTAGTCAGTAATCAGTACCTATTGAACACATGTTTAAAATGGAAACTACATTTTCTGGGGGAATGCAGTACGTGGAAGGGCAAGTCAGCGGACTGAGTTGCTTTTCTGGATTGGAAACCATGTGAGTGTTAGGACAATGGAAGGGCTGTAGGAAAAGAATATCTGAGATCTTGAGGTGCGTTAATAATGCTAGTCCCTTGTGATTTTCGCTGGTTTTTAAAAGTCATTTGCTTCACAGACTCTGAAACCTCATTCTGAACTCCTAACTGTGTGAAACAGCTAGACATTGAACGCTTTCTTGATGCCTGTACTGCCAGTGACGCAGGCCCATCCTTCATCCAAGACCTGGACAGCCTCGCTCCCACTCTGCTTATCCAGGTCACTGTTACTGGTATTTGGACACTAACTTGAATATCTCAGAGTAAGTCAGGTTTACTATTTAGCCCTTTAAAAATAAGTTCATGAGTAAAAAAAAAAAAAACAAAAAAAAACACAGGAACATATTCATAGAAACATGTAAATGATCATTTCACTTGCGAAGAATAGTCCTGTTCAGATGTTAGCTAAGAAGCTTATGCCGAGCTCTGAGATAGTCTTTGGAAGTCAGAGTGGATTTTCTTAAGCTCGCTTACTTGCATTCCTGGACCAAAATTTTCATTACATGTTACTTGTTGAAGTCACTTCTCTTTCAGGATGGCAGCCATCCAGAAGTTGCCTGCCCTATGGTTGCATGTCTTTTCAGTGACTTCATATGTAACTTGGCAGAGTCCTTCCTGGACACCCCTCTACTCTCAGTGACTGCAATCACAGTACCAGTTTTTGTTTGTTTATATCCTCAATGAACACTTTAAATAAACAGTGACAGGACGGAGAGGGAGGAGAGAAAAGGATGTTGGAGATTGAGAAAAAGATCTGAAATAAACAAGGCACTTTGGAGTTCAATCCAGAAGCTATTGCCTTTCTATATTCACTAAATTTCCCCCTCACTTACCATTGCATGATTGAGCCACACTGGAAAGATACCATCTAGGGCCTCAGGGTAAACGAGTTCTCGATCGTAGAGAAAGAGTAGCCAGAAAGTCAAAAATACAAACTGGAAAATAAAAAATAAAAATAGCATTAGGTTTGTTTTCAACCAGGGCTTTTAAAGAAAACATAACAAAATAAAAATAAATACCAGTTTTAAAGACATTATAAAAATGTAAAATAAAAAAAATTCCATATCGTAGAATTGTAATATCAATTCTCTGGGGAGTCTGGAGAGTTAGGGATCAATTATTTGTCACTATGGCAGGCAGAGGATAAAGATAAACAGGATTTGCAGACCATTAAGTCATTTCATCTTAACCAATGACCTCTCTTCTTTAAGCTCACCAAGAGTGCTGAGAGCAGCCACATGGAGTGCCTTGAGTCTTACACTTTCCTTACCCACCCCCACATAGACATGGCAAGGGAAAGTAGGAAGGGGAGGTGGGGGTAGTGACAAACTCCCAAACTAGTTAACTGAGAGTTGGATCTCTCCATTGCTCAGAGGTTTAGGTTCATCCCCATTCTCACACAGCCCTTGGCTGTCTTTCCAAAGTGTCTGTGCTCTGTATCAAAGTCAATGAAAAAATGGGGAGGGAGGGGACTGTTAATTTTCCAACTTTCTTATCTTCTTAAATTTCAAAGCTTCAATCTCCAAGCCTTAAAAAATGAATAACTTCCATTGTTATATAAAACTCGGCCTTTAGATTTATGGGGGTGACTGGGGAGGTATCCTGCAGAGTGAAAGTGGAATACCAGTACTTGCTCTGTAATCTGAGAGCTTGGAGTTTGGAGAGTTTCATTTTACATTTAAGTTTGAAGTCTCAATACTTTAGGAAGCAGGACAATGACAAGTGGAAGGAGGTAGTCATGTCTAATTATAGGTCCTGCTGGGCAGCTGGCTGGCTTGATCTGTTTGTTCCCATTCTAACTAACGAATGAAAACATAAGCAGTGTCATAGAAGTGTGGACAGTGTCAGCAAACAAGCTTATTCACTCTGAGTAAGTCTTACTTCTTTCCAATGTCCATTCATATAACAAAATGAATGAGGCACCTATTTTATGCCCCACACCAGGTATTTCAGACAGATTGTCTCTTGTTTCAATTGCCGTTTTCATGTGCCAACTTTGAAATTTCCATTCTCTCTTTTGTATGGTTTCTACTTGCAGAGGTAACACATGCTTATGGCAGCAAGTGAAATAACACGTATAAAAGGGACAATTAGTTATCTTTCTCCCTAGCACTCTTCATCCCCATCACCCTGCTGGAACCAAGGTTATTCCAGTTTTATTTTGATTAAGAAAGGCCCTTTAAACATCCCTATTAGGACAGCAATAAGGATTTTGTATCAAACATTCACAGAAACACAAAAGCTAATGAGAATTCTGTCAGTATTGTGCTCCCTATGCAGATCTCAGGACATTAAAGCAAATGCAGTTGCTCTGGTCTAAAATAATGGACTCAAAACAGCCTTGCCACCCAGGAGACGTGTACATCCATATGCACATGTGTATTGCGTTGCATATACATTGTTGGAACTCACCGTGGATATAGGAAAAGCCAGTGTGGTGAAGAGCAGGTCTCTGAAGGCAGTTATGAACTTAATGTCTTTTTTCCCTTTCATTTTCTTCAGCACATCTTCCAGGCAAGCAACCCCGAAGAAAATGGCCTGCAAGAGCTAAATTCATTACAACAAATGAGGGTGTTTTCATTTGCTTTAATTAATACATTATTCACTGACGTAAAGCTCCATCCCTCTGGGAGCAATGTGGATTTGAGAAGGAAGGGTGATGTTGGCTGTTTTGGTTGAAAGCCAATTCAAGGGCTGCACTTCCAGCTCACTGGGCCCTGACCTTGCTCGCTAAAACCGATTGAGTAAAATTGTTTAGGGGATAATAATGTGTACAGTATTTAGTGTAATGGACTTGAGCAAAAATGGAAACAAACAAACAAAAAAGTCAGCTTAAAAGGAGAATGCAATGAGCTAGATACCTTGGCTGGGGAAAAATAAATAAACAACACAAGGGCAGAGAGAGCCACATACAATGATGGTGGACATGTTCTTCCTAGGAAGAAAAATTTAAAAAAATGCCTAGTGCTGCAATCTAATTAGAGAAGCCAGAATCAGGGTCAAGAGCACCATAAAGGAGCTCTTTTCTCTCCTGGAGGAAACACACAAAATGCATCTATTAGCTTATTTGAGGGAGAAGACAGTATTCTTCTTTCATTAAAAGGTGGTACCTGAGCCTTGACCTATGTTGCTCAATGGTTAGAGCATTGTCTTGCACATCGGAGGGTCACAGGTTTGATTCCCTGTCAAACATGTACCTGCATTGCAGTTTTGTTCCCCAGCCCCAATCAGAGCTCATGCAGGAGGCAACTGATTGATGTGTCTCTCTCACATCGATGTTTCTCTTCCTCTCTCTCTCTCTCTCTCTCTCCTTCTTCCCTCCTTTCCACTCTCTCTAAAATTAATGAGGGGGGGGGGATGTCCTCATGTAAGGATTAACAAAAAAAAGAGGGTTGGTGCCTGAGGCCTTACAGAGAAAATCTGTCTGAGAAAGTGATTTAAGTCTACAGAGATACAGCAAACCATAGACTCTAGTCAGTCACTAACTCCTGTGAATCCTTAAGGTCAGCAAAAAGAGAAGAGGGCCTTTTCAAAGGAAGTAAAATCACATAAAGGCAAACTTTGCCCACTCTTGATTGTTGTACAAACCTGTGACTTCTTATACAGGGTTGGGGTTGATTTTGAATTATGCTTGCATCAGAATTCATGGAATTCCTTGAAAGCTCTTGATTGGTACAAAAGGGTCAAGACTCTGATCTGAGAGTGTGTGTCAGGCAAGTTCTGGAACCTGGGAACTTGATAGATCAAGTGGGCTATTGGGGAATGACCTCTGGGTCTGAATTCTAGGAAAGCTCTAGCAGGGCTGGCCTCCTGACATCCTTAGACTGAAGGTGTGAGCGGGAGAGGATGCAAACATGAACTAGTTCAGGGATACTCTCAGGTAGGTCCCTATATATGCTAAAGTTCTAGAACCACTGTATCACTTAAAAATCCTAGTGACTACTCAAAGCTATAATATAATAGCTATTTTTTAATGATGTCTTGTTATATATTAGGTACAGATCTAGGCTTTTAATTTCTAATTAACAACCTTATGAGGTAAGTCCTATTATTTTTCCCTCTCTTGACCTATTTTACAGATGAGGAAACTGAGGCATAGAGAGATGAACAAACTTCCCTAAAGTCTCATAGCTGGTGTCAGTCAAGGCCAGGATTTGAGACTCAGAGTCTGGTACTTGAGCCAGACTTTTTTTTAAAAAAGTATCAGATTTATAAGAACAGTTCAGATAAAGAACTGCAGGAGGTCAGAAGAAAGCCAATTATCCATAGGTGAGAGAATTAAAAATGACTTCAAAAAATACTGTCTGGCCATCATGGTTCAGTGGTTGAGTGTCAATTTATGAACCAGTAGTTCATAGTTCAATTCCTAGTCAGAGCATATGCCCAGGGTTGCAGGTTCCAACCTCAGTGTGGGGCATGTATGAGGCAGCCAATCATTGATTCTCTCTCATCATTGATGTTTCTCTTTCTCTCTTCCTCTCCCTTCCTCTCTGACATCAATAAAAATATATTTTAAAAAATAGTGATGCCTGATTTCTTCTGATCCAGATATTCTAATTTAATGGGTCTGGGGGTGTAGCCTAGGCTTCAGGATTTAAAAAAATTCTCCCAAGTGGTTCTACTCAGGGCAGCTAAGACTGAGAACCACTTGCCTAGAGGAGCTTCCACTTGGAAAATCAGACTTGGTCTTCTCAGGAGAGGTAGAGTTGTAGAAATGTAGGAAGTTGAACCCTATAGGTGGGATGAGATTGCTAGAAAGAGGAAGGAGAAAAGAGATGAGAAGAGAGAAGTGGGAAGTGAATGCGAGTAAATGCTCTCATCTAAGATACAGAAGGGGTAAAGAGCCAGCAAAACAGCAAAGAATGATCACATGGTGGAAAACCAGGAATGTACCAGAAACTCATGGTCCCAGAAGGAGAAAGCTTCAAACAAAAAGGGGGCATTCCAGGGAAGAGTGGGCAACAATTTTATATTCCATGAAGAGGTTGCCATCCCAATACTTGTCATTTACTTTTGACATTTGGCCCCTAGGGCTATAGCATTTGAAGTGCAGTCTTTTGCACATGGATATGAGGAAAAAGTCACTCCTCCTCTCTACTCCCGCCCTCAGCCCAGCTATTTAGGCCACAGCAGGCAGCTGCTTTAGTTAGGAAAGGCAGGCCTGGGGCCTGGGCTCTGGGTGAGAGAGACTGCACTGTTCTATCAACACAGCAATTAATCATGTACTGAGCACTGAGTGCCTGCCAGTTTTCTCTCTTTGGGGAGAGGCTGCCTCCACCCAGCATGTGAAGTCCATGTGACCACTTTCCTTAGCGAGAGCCTCCCCCAATCATCAGGAGCCAAGCTCCTCCCGACTTTCTTTTTCCTTCCCCAGTTGCAGAATGTGGAAATTGAATTGGGGGAAAGAACACATTACTCAGAACTTCCACGGCTTCTTCTTCATCAATAAAAATTGGCTCCACACCATAAACATGTCAATCACTCCTCCCCTTTCACCCTCAGCTCACATATTATTTCACAGGCATATGCCACAGTGTAAAGATACCAACTTCCCCAGTAATTTTAATCTGCACTGATGTGCCATCATCTGTATCAGCCAGGAATATTATGGAGCCCTCACACAGGAGCTCAGGAGGGAAGAGCTAGGGTGTAGCCAAGAAAAGTAAATAGGCAAGAACTGGGGCACAGAGAAACCACACAGAAGAGCTGGAGGGCAAGGAGAGGGAGGCACCATGGCCTCACTCAGTGAGGAGGCTTCTGGAGGCCTCAAGGACAGGTTTGGATCAGCTCACTGAAGAGCACAATGGTCTGCTCTGTCTCTAAGGAGAATACAATGGAAGATTTTACAAAACATGCATGGAAAGAATAGTCAATGGAAAAAATGGTAGCTGTTATGGGGTGAACTGTGTCCTCTGACATAAAATTGATATGATGAAGTTATAACTCCCAGTGCTCAGAATGGAACTACATTTGGATATAGGGTCTTTAAAGAGGTAATTAAATTATGACTGGTGCCTTCATAAGAGGAGATTAGGACACAGAACTTAGAGGGAAGACCATGTGAAAGCATAGGAAGAAGGTGGCCATCTGCAAGTCATGGAGAAAAGTCTCAGGAGAAACCAGCCCTGCCAGCACCTTGATCTTGTACTTTTAGCCTCTAGAACTGAGAGAAATAAATTTTAAGGCACCCAGTCTGTGGTGCTCTATTATGGTAGCCCAAGCAGAATAACACAGCAGCCTTAAAATAAGATAGCAACAACTGGTCTTATCTTAATAACATTAATGTCATTTACATTTTTCGACTATTTTGACTTCCTAGGAAAGCAGAATTAATGGTATCCTCTTGATCAAGTACCACTTCAGAGCTGCTCTCTGATTTATCTTTTCTACCAGTCCTTCTAGAATTATGTTTGGTTTTTTTTTGTGCCTTTTTCTGAAATGCTGCTGGTCCTAGTTGGTTAGATGTTTTCCATTTTGTTGCTTGCTGACAAACTTACCACCTGGGAGAGCTGAATATACATTTTTACAACTAGTACAATTTAAGACAGAAACCATAGCTAAAGGATATTTAATTTTTATATTCATGTGTCTTCACAAAATTCACAAAAATCTTGAAATTACGGAAACTTAGTCTCTCTAAGTTATCAAGTTTATGTCTTCGCCTTTAAGCCAGAATTAAACCATTGCAGGAAATGAGAATTTTTGTATGTAAAAAATAATTCCAGAGAGGGATATTCCACAAGTTTCCTGAGCAAGACATTACAACACTTATTAGATGAGTCAAGTAATCCAATGCCCAGCTCAGCACTCCATGACTGACTTGGACAGGCCGGGACTTTCTTAGGTCTCACTTTGGAAATGATGTAATACTTGCAATGAGAGATTATTTCAGAATAAAAGCAAATGGGGACTAATTGTAGTGTAGTGGTTAGGGTGGTGGCACGAGGAACAGGTAGAGGAAGCCTTTGTCAAGTATAGATATATTTGTATTATATACATAAACTATTTCAATAATCATTAATGCATATAGTTTACTATTAAGTAAGAATTTGAAATAAAGAATAAGGAAAAGAATATAAGGGAAGAATACAAACTGGACTGATGAGGGGAAGGGGGAAAGAGAGAAGAAACCAAGAACACTGAGGGACAGGTTGGGATGAAGAATTATAAGAATGCTTAATAGGGCCAAAACTGGTTTGGGTTCAGTGGATAGAATGTCGGCCTGCAGACTGAAGGGTCCCAGGTTCGATTCTGGTTAAGGGCATGTACCTTGGTTGGGAGCACATCCCCAATAGGGATGTGCAGGAGGCAGCTGATTGATGTTTCTCTCTTATGGATGTTTCTAACTTTCTATCCCTCTCCCTTCCTCTCTGTAAAAAAATCAATAAAATATATTTAAAAAAGAAAAAAGAAAAGAAAAGAAAAAAAAAGAATGCTTAGTAGGATGGCTATAGGGTAGACTGTCTTACAGACTGGTCCCTAGAAAATGGCTCTTACTAGTTAGAAACATGCTCTTGTCATTTATGCATGCAACCAACATTCACAGA